GTTGATGTAGCAGGGTAATGAGTTTACTCGTACGAGGCAGATTTTCGATGAAAGGAGTTCTATGGAGCGCAAGGGCTTCATCTCAACAGATTTACGGAATAACGTCGGGCACGCGTCCTAAGTGGGCGGGGCTTCCAAACGGATATGTCCCGCCCACATTTGGCGATTTGTTGGCAGTTCATTTCAGTAATCAGTGTACGCATCTGCCTTATTGTGCTCTGCCAGATAACCGTCAACAGTCACAGTCAACTATTATTGATCGGTGCGCTACATATGAGACACTGTTTTCAGAAATCGTAAGGTTCTCCAATCGGCTATTGGCTACAGTTGGTATTCTATCGGTTCAGCCATGTCGTTGTCAAAAGTGCATACTGACTTGCTGAATAAGACCCTACGAGTATACGGTATCGATTGATCAGTCATAGCTGCCTTGTAAATATCTGTTTTTCAAGTTATTGATATCATTGCCATTTTGCTTCACTTTTCGATTGCTCAAAGCTTCTGATTCGTGCTCAGAATTCGCATTCCATGTATAGTGGCTTTGTTTCGAGGGAGCCTAATTTTAATATTCGAAGTATTTACAACGCGTTTCTATCAGTTTTGGGGTAAGCCATGCGCCTGACGTCCACAGTAATCATTGGACCGATTATTTGTGTGTGTGGCTCATCTACGTCGATTTCTGAATGATTAGCTGTTTGTTTCAAATTATCTTCCCTGGTCCCTAAGAAAGAACAGTATTCATAAATACTGCGCGATTCAATCATCTCGGTACTTTTGTTTCGAAACTAACCGGCTTGGCTCTCTTTATTTCATTTTTCCATTGTATGTTTTTTCTTCTTATTTTTGTGACTATAAGGTACTGGTGGAAATAAAAGATTGCAAATTTGAGATGATTGATTTTTTGTATGTTTATTCGTAGAAATACTTAGGATATTCAACGATTTAAGTTTGAATATACAAAGTTACTCGAATTCAAAGTCGGCGTTCAGACGGACGTGTTTCTCGAATATTCGTATTTCTGAGTCACCTGAAATGAATCATGGTCGTTTATCTGGAGATCAAGAATAGAGAAGGAACTCAAATCAAGGGTAACAGAACCTGGGAAGAATTAGAGAAGCATCAAGTTGGACAGGTGATCCCTGAGGGTAGGGTAGGCTTTGGATCAAGGCGAAGCTTCGGTTATAAAATGGGATGCTGGAAGAGCGATTCCCTCATAAAGCCTAGAGGTTAGGGTGGTTTGGGAAAGAAAAGAGAGCAGCAGAAACCTCCGGGTACCCCCGAATAGGGAACTCTTTCATGGTTCAGCGCATGCCACCTAGGCGATAAAAGGAGGTTGTGTTGGACGAGTTTCATCCGAGCTCCAGTGGCTCCAATGCCATTGACATTGAGCCGCAATGCATCCTCTGCCGCAACTACACCCACGCTTTTCAAGCAGCGAGCGCCACGTGGCAACCGACGCGGAGGCGGGGCTTGCGGACGAAGGAGTGGATTGCGGAGCGAGCCTTGCGCACTTTCAAGTCGCTACGACTCGTCCGCTGAACGTCTGTGTCCCTCGCCAGTCGGTCAACCATTACGTTGTTCTAGAAACAACGGGGGGGTCGTATTTTCGGACCCTTTCATCCAAGAGTCGAGGTTGAGGTTTGGGGGAGGGTCGTATCCGCTTCAGTCGTGTGAAAGTAGATGTGAGTTTGTGGTGAAAGTGGAGTGTTCACGAGTAGTAATCTAGGTGAGTGGGGAGCGGCGCGGAGAAAATTCGCCGTGTCAGCGGTGTTAGTAAAGTGGGAGAAGGGGTAAAGATGGTTTAGGGATTTTGCGTAAAATTTGTTTTATGCGGGTTATATACTCCCTCCCGTTCGCGACATTTTTGGAGCGAAAAAGTGAGCGGAGTTGTGGGAATGAGTTTGGGGCCGGAATTGATAGCGTTTGAGAGATTATGGCGTGGTTGATGAGGTCGAAAAGGCGGGTCGCTCAAGTCCACCTTGATGAGCGGGGTCGTACAAAATTTGAAATCTACACAACGACGATGCGGCCTGGGGTCCTTGCCCTCTCGCGCGACGCTGGCGCTTCTGTCGGGTACCCCAAAATACTGGCGGGAAGAGGGAGATGGGGGATTTGCATTCTCTGGCCAGCGTAGCTTCCCGCCGTCAGTTCCACATTAATTAATTGCCTTCACTAGAAGACTGAAAAACCTGCCTGATATGGTCACGTTGTCGAAAATAGGCAGTGGGATGCCTTTGTGCAAGCGACAGCGTTCGACCATCACACGAGCGGTGACCGCAAATACCTTTTCGAACATTGCCAAGAAGCTGAAATCACACAATCAAGTCAAATACGTCTTCGGTGAGTCTTTTAGTAGGATACTCCACGCAGCGCGACTCCTTCGGTGAACAAGCCACGCCCAAAACGGAGATCAAAATCTATCTTGTAAAAATCGTACGTTTTGGACATTTCACCGATATCAGAAAAGTCCTCGCAAGCTGAAGCTGAGAGTCCGTTCAAACTGCCCGTGCATCGATGCCACAATCTCATAGGTAGAATGATCGATGACGACTCCAGACTGAAGATTTGTAACAAATAAGCTTGTCAAGCTACTGTACAGCTATCTTTGAACCTACCGCTCAAGAAAGGCGGAGCAACCTAAGACCGTTCGTCCCCCCCCCGCGGAGTGTTTTGATTGTCGAGTGGAAAGGGCGGAGGCATTCCGGTTTATTTTTGGTCAGTGTGTGTGAAAACGGAAAGGGCATTTCCTAATGATGTACTCATCGAACAAAGCGCACTAAACTTATTTTATCTCTGTCTCCTTTTCTTTCTCTCTGTAGTCTCGTACAGAGCTAATCGTAAGAAGTATTTGAAAATAACAGAAGGAATTGCTACAATAAGGAACGATCGATACCTATCATCAACATATCTGCCTTCTATTCTACGCTTATGTAGTCTGACATAGCGTTATACGGAGTAACTTCCACCGTTAAGAAAGGAAGGGTAAAACCAGAAGCGAGGCGGAGCGTTCTTGACTTCTTTCTGGCCTGTTAGGTGGGGCGGCAAGCATGGCAGCTCATTTGGCTGGATGACCGTTCATCCTTTATTTCCTCCCTTCTGTTTTTTTTATTTTTTTTTATTTTGTTTTTTTCTTTATTTCTCTTTCTCTTTTTTTCTCACCCATGTGAAAAAAAAAATGTGAAGGATAGGGAGAGGGAGAATAAAAGAACATTTGAGGCATAACCAAAGTCCGCTTGGTCAGCTCGCCTGGCCATAGGATGGCGTCTGCTTGTTCTTTCCCTTCTCATGCAACTGGCAAAACCCTGGGTAAAGCTACAGGGGATCCCAACCTCGTTAAATTCCTCTTCAATGAGTGTTAAATTTGATCTGAGCCAACCAATGCCTAGTGACCTACCAAAAGTCGATGATCGTTTTCGTCGGCGTTTTCCGCAGGCAAGCGTTTCTCATTTTACCGGGCTGTTCGATTTGTCGATTATTTCTACGTTTTTCTTATTTTTGTCTCTAATTTTTGCGGAATTCTTTCAACGGGCAGTTTTTTTTTGTGGAAAGGCGATACGCCGATGGCTAACCACTCTGTTGTTCATCTTGAAGACGGTTCTGGAACTCAAGAGAATCGAAAATGCTTGTTTAGCCTTTTTTAAACCATCAACCACTCATCGACCTTTTCTTTACATACATTTAAACCCGTGAAATGATTTTTGACGGATTGTGCGCAATTTTCCACTGTGACGTCATTTATGCTGCACTGACCGCAGGCAGAGGTCTCACAGTGGAATTATTATGTATTAACACTGATGCCATGATCGTAAGCTTAATACTCACGCATTCGTGCCAGATTCTTCGTGTGATCTTTTTTCGGATGAATGTAGAAATCGATCGCCAAAGGTTAGCATTTATGTCACGTCATCCATCAGCTGATGCGTACAAACGGTCGTAGAGTGTGAAAATGAGATCATTTATGTGATCGGAAATTCGCGTGCGAGTTTTGAAAGAACGTCCCTAAGATGGACACATGTGAGACAGCTGAAAAACGAGGAATTGAAATTGAAAACATTATCACACACCTTTGCTCAGGGCGCTATCGTAAACATGGTCACGGACAACTCGTCCACAATGGGGCGGGCGCTTCGAGCTGTTCATGTGTCGTCATCTCTCAGCTATACCTTCTTGTCTTCTACAAAATTGGCTGCGAAGTACATACCTCGTCCTCAAGTATGACGCTAGTTCGGGAATATCTTTGGTTACGGTGAATTGGACGAGTTTTCCCTTCATGAGCGCTGCTGAGCAGACAATTCGGCACAGTTTCGCTCAACCAGATCACGAGCATTTTTGGAACGAGCCCAGTCTCTGAAATTGGATCAGTATCAACTGTGAATGCCAAACATCTTCTCGTGTTTCTCGAACATCCATCGCTCGATTTTTTCCGGAGTTGCATGTTGTGCGCGCCGATAGACGATGTCCGCCAATAATTCTGCCTCAGCAAATTCTCTAAAAATTATCGATTGATTGGCTAAGACTTATTACATGGCTCTATGCTACTTGAACTGAGTTTCCAAATGAGTACAAGGGCTTACTGGAGTGGTTATCCGTTTGTGGTTAAGGAAGCTTTCGACATCTACTTTCTTATAAAATGGGGAGCTTAAAGGTGCACACTCCACGATGTGAACAAGGTGAATCAATTCGTTCCTGCTAAGTAGTATATCAGGAGCTGTTCCATGAAGAAGTTGTTGGAAGTTCAGCCCTCGAAAGTTCGCAACAGGAAGCCATGCCTTGTCAATTTTGCTGCAGTAAGCTTACCTGCAATGCACGGTGATGTGTCTGCGTTGTTACGCGTCGCTACGCTTCTACGTTCTGTCCCTCTTCCCGGCGCCACCCTCTACTCCAGGTAGTACTCGCGACATCAGGGAATGAAGGCGGTCTTATTTATTAAAGTCGGTGCGTGGTTGTTCTTCCTTTTTTTCTGCTGCTTCGTCCGCGTCCATCATCGCATCATGCTTTCCCTGGTCGGAAGGCGATATACCCGTCCTCGGGGCACTGCCTCTAGGGGGAGGAGGACTAGTCCATGGGCGGAGTAGTTATTCTAACCCAAAATTGGCTCCTTCAATCTACTTTGTCCGTTCATAATGTAATAATTGTAAAATTCCGCTTATTGGTGACGCAAAAGCATCTACTTTGGCCCGCCCGGGAACAACTTCGGTTGGTTGCGTTGCCCAGACTGACCTGCACTTCTATGGCCGTCATTCAGTATTAAGTCAAACAACTATCTGTAGGTAGTCACTGCCTACATGAGCCCCTCACACACAGATGGCAGTTATTAGTTCTGTGCTGACCTTCTTGGGTCGTCCCTTTTTTTCTGTACGGCAGGCCTGGGATGCTGGAAGCGCGACTTCTTTTTTCCTTTTTTTCAGCTGTTATACGAGTTTAGCGATTGTTTGTTTGTTTGTTTTTCGTCTAAACATACTTGTACCGAACTAACACCTTCTGCCCTGTTGTAGCGCACCATTGAGTGCATAAATAAATAAATAAATAAATGAATAAATAAATCTTTGTTTTAGCAGCGCACGTCCCCCCCCCCCTGATATATGCTCGCTGGTGTGCACCTCCGTTGCTAGGTTACCTGGTTGGTCAGTGCTTACAGTCACGGCAGAAGTTTGGCCTGATTTTGTCTTCTTTGCTGGTCTACAAAGGTTGGTTTCGAACGAGCATGTTGAAGGTAAGTTTTGGGTCCAATTAAAGGCAAAGTTCGGGCTCAGACCCACCTAATGAGCCCTTAAAGTGGCTAGAAGCGCATGGGACACAACTGTAAGCGACTCGCCAAAACCCCGCATCGAAATGCGTCACTGAAGCGCTAGGGGCCAAGGACTTTGACACGCTCCTCCTGCCGCGACACGCTCCGCCCACCGCTCGATATTTTGTCCGCGTCGCAATGCTGATCTGCTATGCTCTCTCTTCTCGGATTTCTCTACCGCTCTCCGCGCTCACATTATCTCTCATCTCCCTGCCGGCCTTTTGAACTTCGCCGCAACGTAGAGCAAAAGGATCGTATTTCCTGTGTATTTCACGTTTTCTTTTCCTTTTTTCTTCACTGGGGTCCACCTCCCACTCCCACATCACATTTGAGTACAATTACCTCATCAGTTTAAGCTTGAATCTTGCCTTTAATTCTGTTTTTTGATCCGAGCAGTGGCTCATCTTTTCCAGAGGGTGGTTTACATCTTTAACCCATTCGCGACCGCGCAGGATTTTCAATCTGCCCGTTCGGACGAGCTTTGTTTGAGACGATCGCAAAGTGGCAGCTACCGGTGGCCATCATTGTCCCTCGCGACCCTTTCTTGAAGTGAGGTGAAGTGGCAAAAATCAACAATTGGTGCTGAAACTTTTTCCATGAGGGCAACCGGTGGATGAAATGGTCCCAAGTGAGCATCTTCGCGTCAGCCACCGGTGGCTGCCATTGTCGCGAATGGGTTAATAAATACCATAGCGAAAAAATTTGGGCTAGTTCGCTTTTGCTAAATACGCGGCTTCACAAGTGCAACAACTGACGCCGCTTCGCGACCGCACGCATCTGTTCCTCACCTTCTCGCACCTTAACATGCGTAAAATTCAAATTTGATCACCATAATGGTTTTAGATACTATGAACACAATTTTGAACGAACCTGTTATACGTTAAATTCCGCTCAATCGCATAGTCAATGTAGAAATCCTGTCCGATGGGTATGTGAAGCGGTAAAGAGAGCAGGAACTCGTTGAAATTCACTAGCAGGATGGAGCGAGCGCTATCGCACGCCTAAGATACCAATTATTATTTGAGAATTCTATCTGTTTGAAATTATGGATTTTTGGTGGATTCATTTATATTTCCTTATTTTGGCTATGATTTTTTGTCAAAATAATATTACCTGATTATGAATGGCTTTTCTCAGTGCGTATGAGATCTGAGACGAGAACAGATTCACCAACCACGGTAGAACGCCACCGCCGATTCTGAAACGATTCAAAATTTATATGGTCACGTACCCGCTGGCTAAGAAGCCCTCGATCGGATCTAGTTCGTTTTTTGGCCCATAAAGTTCACCCATAATTCCGATATCTGCCCATGGAGCCTTGGTATGTATCCCTTGCACTCCTGCCATAATACCCAGCGGCTGCCCATGGTTAAAGTAGGGCTACATGATAAGATCGAAGGTCGAAGAAGGGGAAACTCAACCACCTCAAAAGGATGGACACACAATTCGCAGCAAAGGGTATGTCCCCAGTGTCGTAGCAGGATTATGCCCGCTCCGCTCGCGCCGCGGCATGCCCAACCTTTCGTCGTCTGCCTCTTGATGTTTAACAAAAGATAGGTTGATAGTTCAACAGGATGGCACCAATGAGGAGTGCATTTCGAATCCACCATTCTATTATCAATGGCGAGAAGGTCGGGGTCCAATTTCTCGGGTTCTTGGCTGAGTTTCTCATGGGGTTTTTCCTCATCCCAAAACACTACTGACACGTCATACCATGCATGTCCTTTACATTCGACTTCTCTCTCTTGACCTTCGTCTCAACCCCAAATACAATATTCTCTCCCAAAATATTAATACAGTGCGTTTCAAAAGTATGTGCACACCCTCAAAATTCACGTTTGAAAGGGAACCATGAGGTTTCGTGCTATGAAATCCTTCTCAATCGATTTCTCGTAGTCGATAACCTATCATGGAAGCAAAGCAGATAATATCGCCTCACTTTCGGAAAAATTTTTGGATGAAATTTTTTTCTTTGTTTCAAAAGTATGTGCACACTTGAAGAAGATCAGATTTTGGCGCCGAATTTTCCACCGATTTCAATCCGACTTTGCTGTTTTCATTTCGTCATCATGTCAATTCGCGCCATACTTCTTCCTGAAGATGAGCAAGCTCAGATCAAGGTTCTGCATGATAATGAACGTTCCAATCTAGAAATCGCACGATAACTTGGTCGTTCTCCTTAATGCATTCGAAGATTTATCTGGCACCCTGATAATTATACTCAGCACACACTCGCTCCATCCACGATCCTTGACTGCTCAGAACAACAAAAGAGTAGCACACATCCTGTCGAATTCTTCATTGAGAGTCCGAGCTCAGATTTTTATTCCAGCCTCGAAAATAACCACTAAGTCCCTCATCCGCTCAAATGAACCACTCGACAGACGCTGAGGAAGGCTACTCACTTCAAGGCCCAGCACAAGTTAGCCACATTGGAGTCTGCTCGTACAGACACGGCAACATAGGATAGGACACCGGGGAGAAGACACGCTTTTTCGAGAATTTCCTATTTTCAAAACAAGCAACTTTTAATGGACTTTCTCTCCTCAGGTAATCTTAACTCATGGAAAGAGTTCGATCTTGACGGGCCGGGTGGATTTTGCTACTACTTCGTGCTCTCGAGAAGGAATTTCGGAAGAGGCCCGTTGATGGGTCTGCGGCGGTTTCGCAATCAGCGGAAATTCAGAAGTTGCCGTTCCATTATTGCGTATGAACTGTAAAGAATACCAAGCAGTGCTCCAATGTCACCTGTTGCCCTTTCTTAGCGAAGCGGAGCGAAAATTGCATTTTTGGCAACAGGACCACGTGTCTTTCGATGCTTCGCAATCTACCAAAGAATGGCCTTAACCAAATGGTGCTGAAGCAATAGATTGGCTTGTGTGTCCTCCTTACTGCAACCCTATAGGGAGCCCTTGATCAAGGCGTTAACTTTAGCAACCGGCAGTATAATACCGCGGATGAACTGAAGGCGGCGGTAGAGGCTATTTGGGCCGACAGCGACGAAACAGCTATGCCAAACGTGGTTCAGATTATGCCGGACAGGATGTTTGAGCTAATTAGAAACTCTGGAGGCCCCACTGATTTCTAATCTCAGCTATGTTTTTGTCTTTTGTTAAGTGTGCACATACTTTTGAAACAAAGAAAAAAATTTCATCCAAAATTTTTTTCGAAAGTGAGGCGATATTATCTGCTTTGCTTCCATTGATAGGTTATCGACTACGAGAAATCGATTGAGAAGGATTTCATAGCACGAGACCTCATGGTTGCCTTTCAAACGCGAATTTTGAGGGTGTGCACATACTTTTGAAACGCACTGTAGTGACCCTTCCGTCTACCGCCCCCTGCAGTCGCACGTGTCGAGCGACAAATCCATGTGACATGTGACGAACAGAACCGATAAGGAAGAAGTATAAACGAGTGTTGTACATACCGAAAGTTGAAGTATGAAATGTCAGCAGTACAGTCGCCCAAAACGATCTGGGGACGTGCCTCGACGTCCAACACTCGTGCAGACACATTCACTCGAATGTCTGCTGCCAGCACCTCAATCCAACCGGATTCGCGTAACTGCCAAAGTTAACCTTTTCAAGCATAACAGAAACAACAGCGATCTCCATTGGTAGAACTTTGTATGTTTTTGTTAATATTCTTATACTCTATACCCAAAAAACCTGCAGTACCTTTAACAGGGGCGAAAAATTCAGGGAATTTTTCGTGCTTTGAATAAGCATATAGCAGACTCCCAACCATGCGGCACTTATTGCTTGTTGCAGTTCATATTTTTGAGGTTGTCGCGATTGAAACGCCTGCTGTCGCAACGCCGTTATCCCATACGTTTTTTCATTGTGTTTTCGAAAACCTGAGATCTACACGCGCTATTGGCGCATGGAAGTGAACATTCAAAAAGGCGGAAATGGCCTCCACCTCTAATCATATCTGTGCATATGCACTCCCCGCTTTATCATTCTTCGCCAGCCTGACTAATCATAAGCTAGTCTCATAACCAGGAAGCCATTCGCAAGCTGCTTGGCCGTTGTGATCTGATTTTTTACTACCACTTGCTGTTACTCACAGTGAAACTTTTCACTTTATTATTATGATTTGTCAATAAATATGACGCCCCAATTGAAATGCATTTTTCAAGAGGAACCGAACCTACCGGCACACCTATTGTGTATTCGGCTTCCCATAAACCACCGATTTTCACAGCACCTCCATTTGAATGACCATGAGAGACCTTTTTCGCTCAGCAGGAAGTTGAAGCTAAATTGATTAGATTATTTATCTTGATCATAAAGTTCGGCCCTACATGTGGTTAGTAATTAAAAAAATAATCAGGTCCTAGGTTCCATTCTTGCCCCATTCGACGAATTGACGACAAAAATACGGTTAGCGCGAATTTTGGTGTACTCGATGATGGATGCAAAATTAATCAATATTTTCAGACAAATAAAAAAATCTGGATAGGTAGCCCAAAAAAACTTTGAGGCAATGATTTTAAACTTTTGGCGCAATGTCTAATTCAGGGAAAATCTGCAGGATATGAACTTCTGCACCCAAAACTGCGTCAGCGTATTTGCGTCAATGTAGAACTCGACTGACATGTTCAGGAAAGAATGTTTTGTAAACTCACTTTGGTGATTTAAATTTGGTGATGTTGAGGTCGTGCGCAGAAACCTTGCCAGTACCAGGTCCAGCAGTAATATCGAGCGTTATGTCCGGAAGGGTTATCTTCGGGATTTCAAGGTCCACCTGATGGAAGAAATGTGTAACTTTAGAATAATCCAATCGATTCGTCGATCAATGGTGACTCGTGTTACTACTTATGTCGATGTTTATCGAAGTTGATGAGTAGATTAGTTATGGAGAAAATTTTTCTGGGAAATGTGTAGACAATTCGTGTTTCAGACACACTTTGAAGGACGGGGCACAGAGTAGGGTCAACCGTGCGTTGCGCAGTTTTCAGCGTTCGATATTCTTTGAAGGGGTCGTATATAATTGGTTGGCTGAAGGGGACAAAATGAAGTTTCTTTAGACATACTAATCTTCGCTCGACGACTGTTTTGGGGGCTGATCTCAGATAAAATGCGAACCTGAGAGAGACAGCCATGACGGCGAGGGTGGTTGTAGACGTGGGGGAGTCTCCTAAGGCTAGTGGCGGTGGGGATTCGTAAACGAAACTTAAAGGAATCCTTCCACGGAAAAAGCTCCGCCCTCATTACCACAGAAAACGATACCTTAAAGGAATCTTCCACGGAAAGAGTGATCATTTTGTCTTGTGTGTAGGATTAGTATTATCGAAACTAACGCTTATGTTCCGTTCTTTTTGCTATGCTCATGAGGCTAGGGGCCTAAGGGGTATCGTTTTTCTGTGGTAATGGAGGCGGAGCTTTTTCCGCGGAAGATTCCTTTAGAAGGGAGAAGGATAAAGCATTTTGCATGCCGTTTGAAGCACCCCAATTTTGGATGCCCTCATTCTACTTCTGTTTGCTACATGCGTACAGGGGTGGCCAAAAAAAAGAGACACTTCACTCAACATTCAAAACGGAATTATTTACGCGTCGCGAAACCAAACCAAATGACCCCAACTGAATATTGAAGAGCACGTTATAATCTATCAACAAGCTACACAACAGCCTTCTACACCGACGACATCAGAAGATTTTCCCACGGAAGCATTGTGCGCGGTACGATCTCAACGAGGTCGTTGAGATACCATAGACGATTACGACGTCTCTGAAACGCAGGTCAAAAGCGGTTTTGCACATTCACAGCTAATGTCTCTGGGAAGCTATTCAACAATTAATTCACTGAGGAAATTGTGTAGCAGCTTCAGGTCGGAGCGATTTCGGTAAGCCTCGTTGAGCTCGACGGTGACGGCAGATGACGTCATATTCTGGAGACGGCAGGGGCAGTGAAGGAGTGCTTGCTTCTGTTTACGGAGGAACAACTAAGGAATATAACGCCATAAAACTTTCATTAACATCGGCTCCCTGTGTGACGAAAAGTTCGATGATGTGCGCCATGGGCTGAGTGTCTCTTTTTTTTGGCCACCCCTGTATATGGCGTTTGAATGCGATGTGGCCTATACAATGACTTGCGGGGGCCAGCCGATGTACAAGTCAGTGTTTTTATCCTCCCAGACAAGTCTGGTACCAATTAACCGACCCCGGAGGGATGGAAGGCTTGGTTGGCCCGGGCGACTCACGACCCAGGATTTGATCCCCGGACCGCTCGCGTGGTAAGCGTGCCACTTGCCACTACACACAACTTCCGCCCAACGAACTGGAGGGTCGTGGCATTTTTGAAATCTGCAAGTTGATTTTGGTCCAGAGCAGCGTCCACAATTGAAGCTATGCTCCACTTCTCTCACCTCTTGGGATTCATGACTTTAATGTAGAATCGGTTCAAATTGCCAGAGAGAGAAGATAATCCTGTGTAAGTATACTATAGTTGTGCAAGTATACTAATGCACAGCGTAAAGCATATGGGAAATTCCTGATCTGTGCAGCGATACGTAGTACATAGGCGCGGCGAGAAGTTGGGAAAAGCTGAACGAGACGCGCGCGGCTGCAGAGCGGTTAGTACGAATTTTGTTCTGGAACAGGTCCTTGGAGAAAAGAAATCTTAAAACAGCAGAAGAAATGCGCTCAAGGGTGCATACAGAGCCACGTCACTTATTGTTCCTGGTTGCTTCCAAGATAATCTGTACGCTTTGCGAGGGTACCTCCCAGGAGGCCCGTCGGAGCGGACGAGTTGCGCGCGTACTGTAGGGATTTCGCGTCAAGTTAAATAGAATGTTCCATTGTACGTCCTACATCGCACATCACGCGCTGCGACTCGTCCGCGACTCTGCCTTCTTGCCGCGCGACGGGCCTCCTGGGGGGTACCCGCCTTGCGAGCGTCGCCATCACACCAATAAAGCAAAGACAAAGTAAGAAAACAGCTATTTATAAAAACCCTTCATTTATGTGCAATTTATGATGGTTCGCTGTTGGAAAAAGTGTATATATTTGTGAGACATCGAAGCGATTCGATGGCCAGTGATTCAGCCTTTTTTCATCCCATTTGGAACGGATGACGCGGCAGCTGGAATCATTTGTGTGACTCAGCTGAATTCGGGACGGTGGAGCATTCGAAACAAGAACCCCACAGTGTAACAGCGGTCGATAATGCGATTGTGGATGCCGAGGTAACTGAGAGTGAATAGGGAGCCCAAGCAAAGCGACGATGAAGCCCTCGAAGAAGGAAGGGCAAGGACGGCATATTTGAACTAGCCGCTGTGTCGTAATCCACGTTATAGAACGTGCGCGAGGTATCTCGTCCATCAGCTCACAGTAGCTATCATAAGCTCAATTTGTAAGACCATGGCGCCATTGTTGCGCACTTTTGAGCCGTGACAACGACACTACTGGGATACGTGCAGGCTACTCCATCTTATCACAGAATAGATTGTTCCCCACGATGTATATGGGGTTGTCGCTTCAAAAATCCGCACATTAGATAGAAACCTTTACAATGCCGAAGACCTTGGACAATCAATAATCATAGACTGGACTCTGTTCAGCCCAAACGAAGAACTGTTCTAGACTTACCACATGATGAGCAGTTTTCGAGAAGAACTTGAATGCCGACAGATCCAGCCGTGCTTTCAGATCGGCACTGTTTGATGGAGAATCGGCTGCAGCCCTTGGGCCAGCAATAGCCAAAAATACCAGGAGTAGCAGCCAACGATCAAGCATGGTCATCGGCGAATGGGCTCGTCGGGGCAGCCGGAGGTGTCTGTTTCATGTAAACAACGATCATCCATTCGTCTGCGACGCAAGTCATCTGAGCTGTGACACATTAGCCGTCGGCTACTCTGACAGCTGAAACGATAAAGCAGGGTCAAGCGAGGCGTTGAGGAAAATTTGGAAATACGACCCCCCCCCCACCACCCTCCGCCGGAGGCCGAAGTCCATGAAACAACCCTCTTCAAAAGCCGAACTATGAAAAGGTTGAAAAGCTTGTTTAATTCTCCCCCAAAACTGCTCATAAAAAAGCCCTGCTACCCCACCGCCCACAAAAAAATTCGTTTAAGAAGTACAAAAGTGAAAAAGTCAAAGAATAATCATTATTGATGAGTCCTACCAAACGAGCAAACGAGAAACAGACCAGAAAACGACAAACTAGTCACTAAAAATGGCATACCATGACAACATCTTCTTTATTTATTTCCTCCACAAGACTTACCAAATTCTAGTACTACACAGATTATGGTTCTCAATTTACACCCCCTTTCGCTCAAAGGAAGCCTTGTAAAAGCCTTCGCCAGCTGTGTGTTGACTGGACTTTGGCGTTGACCGTGGAGCAGCTTATTTACTATTGAAATTTGAACAAATATTCAAATGATTATAACTTTCTTCAAAGTTAACGAATTTTCAATCTGAAAGCAGATTTGGGAGTTTTGTGAAGAGCTTTTTCTAATCAGTATTGAAATTACAAAAAGTTATAAGAAATAACAAATTTAGATCAATTAACGAGGAAAATTCGAGATGAGCACGAGTTTTTACACTTTCCGAAGCAACAACTTGCTTCATTTTCGTCAAATTCGAAAAGTTAATATGGCAGACAAAACTAGAAGATTTTCTCTACCAAACCATTGCTAAAGCAGCTCTATACGTCCAGTATTCGAAAAATGGCCCACGTTGAGGATTTTTGCAAAATTAACGAGGAAAATTTGTGATGAGTGCGAGTTTTTTACTTCCTAAAGCCATAACTCCGTTCAAACTCATCCAATCCGAAAAGTAAATACGCCATCATAAACTAGAAGATTTGCTCTATCAAATGCTTACTAGAACTGCTCCAAACGTCCAGTATTAAAAAAACGGCTACGTTGAGGATTTTGCACGAGTACCGCCGAAAGGTACTTTTTCGCTACATTGGCACTATTTCAACGGCTGTATATCCTTTTAAGGGCGATTATGTACTAAAGTAAGAGCAGATTTGGAATCACTGCTTTTCTTTCTAAGAAAAGTGATTGATTAGCGTTTCTCAACTTTAAAGGTTACATGTTTATAAATTTAACCCTGAAGAGTCCGTTAACGCAATGTTGAATGGTGTACACCTCCCTGTAAATGCGCACGGACACTTTCAGAATTCTCTCGATTGTTCCTGAATTGAGGTTGTTTGTCCAAGGAGCCGTAGTTGAAGCGCGCGCAACAACTAGACCCTTTCTCGGATGCGCCGTGTACCTCACATCCCTTCCGATTCGGGTGATGATCCCACTGCATCAAAATGGCTCCGATCTCTTCCACCCAGCGGGCCAATACGACCCCCCCCCCTGCGACGTGTCGAGGATTCCTCAACGCACGCTTGACCCTGGCTGTGACACATTGCCGTCGGCTACTCTGACAGCTGAAACGATGAATGATACTGTGAAATCACTTGTGGCAAAAAATCAAGGTCCATAGAGAGCAACTAATCACGACTAGCCGATGATTGACGTGATAATTCCACTGATTAAGCCATGCCCTCGTTTGTACGCTGACAGAAGGAGACCCTCAGATCACCTTGGTCATTCAAAATGAGATGTTCACCTTTCTTATGTGACTTGGACTCTTATCTTAATTGCCTTCCAATCTGTTGAACGATTTTTCAAATCGAGTCATGAGGCCGAAGCGAGGGTGTCATGTGGCGCGAACCCATTGGCACCGTTCATGACACCATGACCGGATAACTCGTCCACACAACATGTTTTCGTTCCGCACCTGTTGCCTTGGCATCAGACCAGCACAAGCTATGCGCTCTTGTTCTAGATCTTTGAGATTGAACGGCGATTTCAGATCAGATCAGATCACCAATCAATTGCTGAAGTCTGGAAGTTGAGTGGGCGGAAAGTGGTGTATTTCCGTGTGTCCTCCACAACAATGCCCATCGCGCGGCTTGAAGGCGAGTTGCACGCGTGTGCGATATGAGACGTAGTATGGTACACTCTATTTAACCTGACGCCTAACCGCTACAGTATGCGCTGCGACTCGTCCCTTTGCCGCGTCTGCGTCTCTTCCTTCGCCGCGCGGTGGGCCTGTTGGGGGACACCCGGGGTAGCGGGTGGGAACGGTGTAGTGGCGCGCTTACCACGCGAGCGGTCCGGGGATCAAATCCTGGGTCGTGAGTCGCCCGGGCCAACCAAGCCTTCCATCCCTCCGGGGTCGGTTAATTGGTACCAGACTTGTCTGGGAGGATAAAAACACTGACTTGTACATCGGCTGGCCCCCGCAAGTCATTGTATAGGCCACATCGCATTCAACGAATGTACAAATGGAAGTAGAATGCGTGCCGCATCCCAAAAAGGGATTGATCAACGGCAAATGCTTTATCCTTTTTACCCTCTGGAGCGGACGAGTTGTCCGGCCACAGCAGATGTGGCAGTCACGGCCTGTGTGCTTAAATGCCAATGTGATTGCACCATATTACCGCCACCCTCGCAATCATAATGGTAAAGACTTTCAGGCATGAGGACCTGAGATTAGGTCTTCCGCGGTTCGTATTTGAACGCCATTATCTACACTTTGTGACCATGGAATCTTGTCGTTTAGTACTCCTCATGAAGCTGCATCTATCGAAACTTTCAAGCTTTGTGGCCTCTCAAGGAAGTGTTCAGCCACACGATCGCCTCAAAATCTCGCGTCGGGGACATTCCGGGACGAGTTCATAATCCTTGGGAAAGTGCCTAGTGGCCTTAATCGGTGAACTTCCCACGAAGTTTTGATATCGTTACCAATCCGACTTGGACTGACCCGACATGAATATCCAGTTCAAACCGATGAACAGTCGACGCTCCGGCTGACATTTACCCTCTAAAAACTCAACTGCACAGCAGACAGAACAGGATTTCGTGGAAATATCTCGAGCGTGATCCGATTCAATTTTCCAGCATTTCGAGAATGACTACTACATAAAAGCCATCGGGTCGATGAGAAGACGCCCTGACGCTATGTGTGCTTTCTTAAGCTTCTAAAGCGTTCCATATGCCACTTGGAGACTTATTTTGTTGCCTTCTTTTTCAATCTACTTGACTATTTGGCATTTTAGTGGCAGCATTTTTGCTCCAGAAGAAATTTTCGAATTAGTTCAAGCTCAAAGAAACGGGTACGTATCGTTTGTGTCCCTTGTTGTCCTGTTAAGGCCGATGTCACACTTAGCGAATCGAGCAATTCGCTAGCGTCCGCGGTGAACGACGAATCGCTCAATTCGCTGTACGCGACGCTATCGGGCGCTAGCGAATCCTCTCGATTCGCAAAGTATTGACTCGTCCTAAACCGTCGACTTTTGAGCGGGCGCCAGCAGTGCCTCCATTCGCCTCTTTTGCGCATCACAGCATTAGTTTATCACCAACTCCCAGATTGAATCACACAGACTCACCCTGGACCAACCGTCCTTCACCAGGTTTGAGCTGGTTAGTGTGGAGTTCATATGATGGTGAAAGGATAAGAACAGTCTCAGTACATTGAAGAGGTCCCAACGAATCGGATTTGCTGGTAGTTAGGTACATTGAAAATTCAATGATTGCACTTTGCCTTATTCAAATTTGTGGGGCGATAAGTCATCTGGTGTGTACTGGCGATTCGAGGCGACGACGAGAGTGGGGAATATGGCGAATTCGAAGACGAGTTTCGGACTCGATGTGCCTCCAGACTACTCCAAAATCAACGTCTCTGACGCGGCATGGAACATCAGTGAGTTTTCAGAATGCGAAAGAAAGAAATTTTGGATGCCCGGAAATCAAAAATAGCGACCTTTGACAGGTTTAAATATCCCAGAAAGCAGTCAAAGGCTTGTCCTCTGATTACCCAAAGAAGTCACTTCAAGCGCGAAAAAGGCAGATCAATTTCAAAGCGCTTTGGTCCCACCTATTCGGCCAGAAGGTGTTGTAGCACAGGTGAGCTTAGGGCTGATGATGACCCTATCACTTGCCCGTAACTCCGCACACGAGCTATGACTGCGTCTCTGCCTCCTATATGTTCTTCGCGTTCTCGTCGTCTGCTGCCTCTCTCGGCGCCGGTGTTTATTTGCCGTAAGCTCGTGCAGTGTTGTATATGAGCTACAAAAAAGGACGTTTTGACGACTTCCTAAGCAAAATTCTCAGATTACGGACCAATCAACTGTGTTGTTTCACACCCGAACCCCCAAACCGCATTCTTCATTAGCGGCATGTGCCTTTAAACTTCAATTATACATGAGAAACAAAATCACATTTTTTTTGTTCCGCGACTCAACTCCTTAGCGTCCTTTAATTCCTAAAGCTTCTGAGGACCACCTATAAGTCCTGCAATAGAAAAGTCCTAGCCACTGCTATTCTCGTTACGATTTTTGCACCACGGTACTGTCCACAGTACCTTAATTATTCCGATTTCTAGCATACTTACTCCAAAATATTTTCAGCGCTTCATGCGATATCTGAATTTCAAAGAGAATGACATGCAAAGGAATCTGGACACATCGATATGTCATCGCCTAAGCAATCGATTCGCACCGAAATCAGTCCCGCCGTCTGGATTTTGTGAATTGCAGGTGTTATTGATTGATTCGATGAATTACTGTTTTCTTAAAACCTAATTTGAAGTTGCGAGCGCTTTTATATCCACATGGTATACACTTTCGCATTGATTATTCTGCGTTGTTTCGAA